CTGAATTTGTGATAAATAGCCTACCAACAAAGCTCAGTACCAGACAGATTCACAGCTGAATTCTACCAGATGTAGAAAGAAGACCTACTACCATTTCTACTAAAACTATTTCAAATAAATTGAGAAAGAGGGACACCTCACCAAGTCATTGTATAAGAACAACATCATTCTTATACCAAAACCTGGCAGATAAAACAAAAATAGAAAACTTGAAGCCAATACCTTTGATAAACATTAATGAAAAAATCCTCAACAAAACACCAGCAAATCAAATCTAGCTGCACATCAAATAATGAATCCACTATGTCCAACTATGTTTTATCTGTGGGATGCAAGATTGGTTCAACATACAAAAATTAATAAATGCTATAAATCACATAAACAGAACTAAACATAAAAAAACACAAAATTATTTCAATGGATGCAGAAATAACTTTCAATAAAATTTAACATCTTTTTTTTTTTTAAAGCTCTCAACAAACTATGCATTGAAGGTACATACTTCAAAATAATGAGTTATCTATGACAAACCAAAACCCAAAATACTGAATGAAAACAAGCTGGAAGTATTTCTCCTTGAAAACTGGAGAATGACAAAACTGCCTTCTCTCACCACTCTCACCTAACACAGAATTTGAATTTCCAGACAGAGCAATCAGGCAAGATAAAAATATAAACATTCAAACAGAAAGAGAAGAAGTCAAACCATCCCTGTTTGCAGATAACATAATTTCATATTTAGAAAATCCTACAGTCTCAGTGGAAAAGGTCTTTCAACTGAGAAGCAACTTCAGCAGAGTTTCAAAATACAAATAGATATACTAATGTCAGTAGCATTCTTGTACATCAACAACAACAAAAGCAAAGCCAAACTTTAAAAAAAAAAAATTCCATTCACAATATCTAGGTATACAATTAACCAGGGTGGTAAAAAATTTCTTCGAAAAGAATTATAAAACACTGAATAAAGAAGTCAAAGATGAAACAAACAAATGGAAAACCATTTTATGCTCATAAATAGAAAAGACCAATATTATTTAAGATGGTCATACTGCCCAACAAAATTTATAGCTTAAAGCAATTAAACCACTGATACCATTTTTAACAGAACAGCCACCACCAAAACTATTTTATATTTCATTATGAAACAACAACAACAAACGAATAGCTAATGCAATCCTAAGCAAAAAGCATAAAACTGAAAGCATTACATTACCAACCTCAAACTATACTACATACAGGGCTACAATAACCAACACAACATTGTACCAATGCAACACAATACAGGCCTAGAAATAATGTCACACACCTACAACCATCTGACCTTTAAAAAAGACGATAAAAGGAACTGGGGAGGAAATCTCTTTTTAATAAATGGTGCTGAAACAACTAGCTAGCACTATGCAGAAGACTGAAACAAGATTCCATCCTTACTCCATATATGGAACTTAAATATAAAACTTAAGGTTGTAAAAATAAATAAATAAATAAAAACACTGACAGATAATCTAGGAAATACCATTCTAAACCTACGAACTGGCAAAGACCGCATGATGAAGGTACCAAAGCAATTGCAACAAAAGCAAAAATTGATAAATGGGACCTAATTAAACTAAAAACTTTCTTCACAGAAAAAGAAACTATTAACAGAGTGAACAGACAACCTACAGAATTAAAACACACACACACACACACACACACACACACATTTGCAAACTCTGCTTCTGTCAAGGGTCTCATATACAAAATCTATTTAAAAAACTTAAAACGGGGATTTCCACCAAGACAGCCAAATAGGAACAGTTCAGGAGTACAGTTCCCAGCGAAAGCAACTCATAAGGCAAGTAAGTAATCTCTGCATTTTCAGCCAAGGTACCAGGTTCATCTTAATAGAACTGGTTGGACAGTGGGTGTAGCCCACGGAGGGCAAACCAAGGCAGGGTGGGATGTAGCCTCACCTGGGAACTGCAAGCTGGAGGGCACCCCCTTCCACCCAACGGAGGCCACTGGGGACATCCAGCCACTCCAGAGCTCGGGTTCCGATGCTACACTTCCCTTATGGTCTTTGCAACCCGCAGACCAGGAGATCCCCGCATGCCAACATGCACCACATGTTTTCAGGGCAAATCTGGGCTGCTGATTCAGCTGCCGCCTTGAGTTCCCAGCAAAAATCTCAGCAGCTGTTTTGACTGGCTCCTGGAACACCTGCGAGCAGAGTCACCCATACACCTGACAGAAAGGGGGTTGAAGGCGGGGAGCCCGGTGATCTGGCTCAGCGGGATCCACCCCTACAGAAACAAGCAAACTGAATCCCACTGGCTTGGGATTTTCACAGCCAGCATAGCAGCGGTTTGAGCTCCAGACAGTCGAGCTCCGTGGGAGGAGGGACATCCGCCATTACCAAGGCAGTTCTAACCTTACCTATGTAAACAAAAGCAAAAAGAAGTTTACACAGCAGCTTGGGGTAGCCCAGAGCCAGTGGCAGCTCAAAAACACCTCTGCAGGCAGACTGTGACTTGATTCCCTTTTTGCTGGGCAGAACATCTTTGAAAAAAAGGAAGCAATCTGTCAGAAACTTATGCATAAAGCCACACCTTCCCGGGACAGAGCACCTGGGAAAATGAGCGGCTGGGAGTTCTGTGCAGCAGACTTTAACATTCCTGCCCAGCATTTCTGGAGAGAGTAACAAAGCTTCCAGCACAGCATTTGAGCTCTAGGCAGAAATTATTTCTATGTTTTTTCCTCAATACTAGCATCTGATTGGCAGACCAGCAATGTGTCCCCAAGAAATGGAAGCTGGGTTGGGTAAAGACAGTTTTAATGTCTCAAGGGGTTAGCTTTTCAAAAAACAGAGGACATCAGGAGATTCCTGTCAGCCCCACAGCCTCCATCTTCTTCCTTGAGAGGCTACATTCCATGCCTCAGGTTGTCCTATGAAAGAAAATAACCCAGGAGCTGATATTCACTAGACACTCCAGTAGACATAACCATGTCGGGTATCTTCATCTATCCCAAAACAGTACTGAAACCCAGGACCAGGGCGGCTGAGGACAAATAACCCCACAATTGTTTGAAGGGAATCCCTGACCCAAAAACATTCTGATAAGACTTCTGTACCCAGAGAAGATAAAAAGAAAAGAGGAACTTAAAAAAATACAATGTCAGGGGATTATTTACTTTGTTCTCAGGGGAAATATTTTTCAAACAGAAAACACATCTTTGCAAAAGTCCCATCCAATTACTTGTCAAAAAATGATTAATGACCGTGTGCAGTAGCTCACCCCTGTAATCACAGCACTTTGAGGCTGAGATGTGCAGATCACTTGAGGTCAAGAATTCGAAATCAGCCTGGCTAATAACATGGTAAAACCTGGGCTCTACTAAAAATACAATTAGTCAGGTGTAATAGCACGCACCTGTAATCTCAGCTATTCAAGAGACTGAGGCAGGAGAATTACTTGAACCCGGGAGGCAAAGGCTGCAGTGAACCGAGATTGCTCCACTGCACTCCAGCATGGGTGACAAAGTGAGATAACATTCTAATTTTTTAGAATGATTAATGAAAATCTGGTATCTAAAATGTACACTAAAGGACAAATAGCTGATAATGTGAATTAGGGAGGGGAAATTGGCATTTGGGAATGTCAAAAATAACTGGAAATGTAGTATTTTACTGCAAGCCAGAGTTATGATAAAGGAAGGCAGGGTGGGAGTAGAAGGTAGACTTGAGAGGTTGCTTGGGATATATGTGAAAAACGCAGGGGAAAATCATTCCCCAGTGGTGTGTGAAAATAACTAAGTGTCAGGCAATGAGACTGATGTGGCTATCGTCTCGATTTTTCAATTTAAAAAAAAAATCTAACTCAAGTGCATTTTTTTTCTTTTTTGTGGTAAATTACTACATTGGGGGGGGGGAAATCAGATTACCAACTATAAACCCTCAATCAACCTCTGATTGCATAACCAGGAAATTTGGAAGCTCAAGTGGAAATTGTCAGGTCTCCATATGCAAGCCTGGAACCTGAATGTCAAGTCTCACATGCAAGCCTGGAGCCCGAAGTTTGAATTCCTGCCTGCCCCGGCTGCAGTCTCCCACCTGCCGCCTGCATTCCCCATCATCTCTAATTGCCCATCGGAGCTTCCCGGACTAGCCCCTCACCCAAGCCTGCTGTCTTAACTGTTCTTATGATAATGCAAATCCCTCTCGCCTAACACCGCCCTTGTAACTGAACTTGTGATCTTCCTCTGCAACACCCCCGCCCCGCAAAAAAACTACCCCAACATACAAAGCCAATTCCCAACTTAGCCCCTTCGCCTTTTCGTTTCTTGGATTCGGCTCGTTTGCACCCAAGCGATAAATAAAATGGCCTTGTTGCCCACACAAAGCCTGTTTGAAAGATCTCTTCATTAAATGCATTTAATACTCGGTACTATTGGAAGTGAATAACATTAAGAAACTACCTGTGTTAATCGATTAATGAATGTGGGTTTTTCTTAATAATGCACCTTATAAAAGTCTTCTTTTGAACCCGCTCCTATGGACCACAAACTACAAATCATAGCTGGGCGCTCTACAATTTTGAACCACTGTTTAAATAAATTATTTGATATTTTTGCGGCGACTCCAATAAATTTTTCACAAACAAGGGACCAAAAGCTCTTCCGATTTATGAACCTCGCACCCCAAGTCAGGACTCTCCCCTGACGACCCTCCCGTGGTCCCTGCACAATCGAGGAGAAACGCGGCGCGGTGGGTGCTGAGCTGCCCAAAGCGGGCTCCAGGCCACTAGGCAAGAGAGAGACAGGACGCCCGGGGTCCCGCCTGTCCGCCCAGCCGCCATCTTAACGCGGAAGGGGGCTGAAGATCGAGCTGCGCCAAGGTGAACTCGGCCTCAGATTTGGGAGCTGACTGCTGGGGGCCTGAGTCCCGCTACAGCCGCTTCCCACCGCTTCCAACCAGCCCCTTCCCACTCTCCAGATGTCGGATCCCGCACTCTCACCATTTCCAGGTTTTCAGCGGCTCCTGGCATCTCAGCTGTGGATCTCTCAATACCTGAAGGTCACAGGGCCACACAGACTGGATCTCCAGGACTGCAGGACACAGAGCAGCGAAGACGGGACCCGGGAGCTCAGACTGCAGGAAGAGACAAAGGACCCGCCAAATCCGGAAGCCGTCCTGTATACGTTCCAGCTATTGGGCCGGTTTTCAGAGTCTCTGACTAGGTAACGGTTAAGTTCCGCCCCTTTAGTCCCGCCCCTTTAGTTCCCGAGTGACAGAAGATTTGACCAGACACTGGGCTAAATGAAGAAAGAGTGACAGCCTGGGCTGCAACCTTTTCAGGTAGGGCTTCCCTCCCTGAGCTGAGCCACGACCAACCAGGAGGGTATTTGCATTTAACCTGGTGTATAAGGTGATATGTATTTATAAATAACATATTATATGACTATTCACAAATGGAAAGAGTCTAATAATGATTATTTAACAATTTCAGATTTTATAAACTTCCTGACTTCTGGTCCTTTGAGCAGGCAGCTTAAGATTTTAAAAAGGAGGCAATCGTCTGATATAAAATGTGAGCCAAATGTGAATTTTAAAATTTCTATTAGCCAAATTTTTAAATTTTATTTTATTTTTATTCATTTATTTTATTTTATTTTATTTTATTTTTTGAGACTGAGTCTCACTATCACCCAGGCTGAGTGCAGTGGCACAGTCTCGGCTCATTGCAACCTCCACATCCAGGGTTCAAGTGATTTTCTTGACTCAGCCTCCTAAGTAGCTAGGATTACAGGCTCGCGTTACCACGCCCCACTAATTTTTTTGTATTTTTAGTAGAAACAAAGTTTCACCATGTTAACCAGGCTGGTCTTAAACTTCTGACCTCAGGCGATCGCCCTCACTCAAAAATGCTGGGATTACAAGTGTGAGTCACCGCACTCGGCCTTATGCAGCATTTTTAAAAGAAAACCTTCCTATGTTTTCATTTTTAGGCAGACTTTATATTGAATAGGGTTGGATTTTTTTTTTTTTTTTTCCGGAAGCCTCTTTGAGGGAGAATTCGTGATTGCATTAAAAGGTGAGTTGGGCCGGGCGCGGTGGCTCAAGCCTGTAATCCCAGCACTTTGGGAGGCCGAGGCGGGTGGATCACGAGGTCGAGAGATCGAGACCATCCTGGTCAACATGGTGAAACCCCGTCTCTACTAAAAATACAAAAAATTAGCTGGGCATGGTGGCTCATGCCTGTAATCCCAGCTACTGAGGAGGCTGAGGCAGGAGAATTGCCTGAACCCAGGAGGCGGAGGTTGCGGTGAGCCGAGATCGTGCCATTGCACTCCAGCCTGGGTAACAAGAGCGAAGCTCCGTCTCAAAAAAAAAAAAAAAAAAAAAAAAAAAAAAGGTGAGTTGGGTGCCAGGAGAAAAAAAAAAAAAAAAAAAAAGGTGAGTTGGGTGCCAGATGCACGACCAGTTTGCTTTATTTTCATTGTGGGGGTGTTTTTCCTAGAGCAGCCACAGTGTGCTGTGGAAAGTGGAGCTTGGCAGTGTCCTTCCCTGACTTATTATTTTGCCCTGCCGGCTGTGTACAGTACTGAGAAAATCTCGAGCCTTGTTGATTGTCTCTGGTCAATACCCACTGCTGCTGACTACCTGTGACTTGATTTTTACAGGATCTCCATGACACTCATAATAATACATGCTATCTTATTGCTACTCAGCTCTGGGAGATAACTGGTTCAGCCTTAGAACACCGCAGTTTCTGGAGAACGTTTATTGCATATGGGGTAAAATGTTGTAGCAATTTTAGAATTCTGTCCTGTGTCATTTTAATAGCTACCTCTATAGCAAGATTCTACACACAGTTAAATTGCTATTGTCATAAAAAGCCAGTACTAGATTTGCATATATTGTCAACAAGAAATTTAACATGATTAATATAAAATCTTACAGGTACTTTTAAAATATTGGGATACTGAAGAGAATATTTTGTATTAACATTAGACTTGACATGTTGTTATAACATGTATCTTCAAAATTAAATTTTAAAACATTTTGCAAGGATTATGCTGTGATTTATTATTATGCTAGATGTTAGAGTGAATGTGGAGGATCTGGGGGTTTAAAGTTTCTGATTGTATTTGATTAGTATGTTTCTAATTTCCCATTTTGAAAATGTCTTCCAAGATATATGTTTAACTTTTTTTTTTTTTTTTTTTTTTTTTGAGATGGAGTTTCGCTCTTGTTACCCAGGCTGGAGTGCAATGGCACCATCTCGGCTCACCGCAACCTCCGCCTCCTGGGTTCAGGCAATTCTCCTGCCTCAGCCTCCTGAGTAGCTGGAATTACAGGCACGCGCCACCATGCCCAGCTAATTTTTTGTATCGACCTTGTGATCCACCCGCCTCGGCCTCCCAAAGTGCTGGGATTACAGGCTTGAGCCACCGCGCCCGGCTTGTTTAACTTTTTATATCGTTACACAAAATTAAGTAAAACCTTTCATTATTTACCTTGAAAGAATTTATTTTATTTGAAGCTTTAATGAAAAAAAGGGGTTTCTTTGAGTATGTATCATTTTGTTTTATATTGGAGGCTTCGTATATTTTATGAGTCTTGTATTGTTTTAATTTTTATTATTTCCCATGTATTTCCTAATCCACAATTAGCATTAATAGAAATTATTGTACCCTAACTGTTGACAGAAATCACAGCACTTCAAAATGAGCTCAAAGATTTTAAGAAAGAGACTTTATTCTGTTGGTGGGATGAATACTATGTACATGTTTCTTAAAGTTAGTTTAAATAGTTGAGTGTATTTTAATTACTATTACTGTAAAAAATGCCACTGAGCTCAAAAAAAGGGCAATTAATGCTTGTATTAGACAGTTTTATAGAAAACGTAGATCACAAGTTAGGTTAATGTGGTTGTTGCTTTTTAGTAAAGTCGTATAGAGTTTTCATTAGAACAAAATTTTCTTTAACAAACCTTACTTTCAATAAATTCAGACTTTGGGGATTGTCATAGAGCTAATTTCTGCTTATTAGTTTATATGTTCAACTTCATGAAAACGTCTACTGTGCCACTGACAGCAATATGGTCAAATGATTATTAGATCACACCTTTAAAGTATTTAAAATTTGACAATTTACATCAGTGAATTTTGTGATTTGAAAAAAGAAAAAGGATCTTGCTTTAAAACATGTTATCAAACTACCCTCTTCAAAAGTATTTTCAAATGTTCATTCCTTTGTTCTAGTTTATGAATTTAGTTTTGATGTTTTATGAAACTTTAGTACGTAGATTTTATGTTTGAGGGATACGTAGTTTTCTAAATGTATGCTTTTAAAAATATCAAACCATTATAAAATGAGAATTTTTAAATTAAAGCCTTTGCAAGGGTAGCTTTAGGGGGTATGGTGGTACATAGTGTAGCCTTAGTGGGTTGTTCCATACAGTGGGCTCATCTGTACACTTAGTGGGCTGATCTGTGTGACAGATCTGTACAGAACCCCAAAAAGCAAAGTTGTCCCTAATTTGAATCTAGTTGTTTCTCAGCTCGATTACTTTCAATTTATGTCCACCTGATGTGAATAGAACCCAATTACAGCAAAAAAAAAAAAAAAAAAAAAAAAAGGAAAGGCATTACACTTCTCATCCTTGCAAATTAGTGTTGTTTTTTTTAAGTTCAAAAAATTAATCTTCTCTCATCAGTTATTATGCCAAACCCATAATATTTTAAGACATAGGATGATAGTGGATGCCACTAAACCTCTCTAAGTATCAAGCAGAGCTCTTTTTAAAAACAAGGTGCATAGGCTTGGGCAGCAGTTCAGTAATCTCTGAAGAAACAAAGGTTACAAGACCCCATTCCTACAATTTTTTTCCAATTAGCTAGGTGTAGTGGTGCATGCCTTTATTCCTAGCTACTAGAGAGGCTGATGTTGGAGAATCACTTAAGCCCAAGAGGTCGAGGCTGTAGTGAGTCATGGTATCACCACTGTATTTCAGCCTAGAAAACAAAGCAAGCCACTGTCTTAAAAAAAAATGGGGTGAATGTGTGACAAATCATTGTCTATAGGTAGATGAGAAACCCCCAAAAAGACTTTAAAGGAGCAATAGGAGGAGAAAAACAAGAAGAGAGTGGTGTCCTAGACGCAGGTGAAGTTAGACTGTACCTTTTTCTGTAACTCGCTGGAAAAACTCCATGACCATCAACATATGATTATCTGAAATAACCCAAATGTGCAATAGGAGAAAAAATGCAAGTTGCTGGAATCACATTTACAAATGTCCTCAGATATGTTACATGGCTGGGTAACAGGCTCTTATAGGTGCTCCACATATATATCCTTCCTAAATTTGTAAACTGCAGAGATCTCTGAATCAAATCTTCTCTACTTAAAACTTTAGTTCTCAAGTGAAAGAATGGTCAATTGAATACTTTGTAAAGTTTTAAATATAATTTTTAAACAATTTATTTTTGACAAAAACCAGAAGGGCAACTATGACCACACATCCCTGAGTGGAAATAGGAAGACTTGGAAAAGCACACGAAGAGGGCAGGGACATGAGGTCCAGACTTGTAGCAGCTTCTGAGAAAGATCTCACTCCAAGGGCAAGTTCAAGTCCATGGGTGAAATGGCTAGGATGCCCTCCTGGAAGGGAAAAGTGGCAGAGCCCTGTAAGGAGGGGAGTGATCTCCCCCTCCACAGCAGCATCTACATCAGCACAGTGAGATCAGCGATGGGATGGTGAGGAACCAGAGAGCAGAAGGCGATAGACACCCAGAGAAGGGGACAAAGACCCAGAGAGAGGGACACAGGAATGAGCTGGGACAAAGTCCTAGAGGGAGGAGGAAAGACAGAGCCCAAGGAGGATCAGGGCACTCAATGGGGGTTAGACAGAGACCCAGAGAGAGTGAAGAGTGAGGGCACAGAGTCATAGAAGGGGAAGAGGGTCCTGGGATGTGAATAATTCGGGGCTGTGGCTTGTGTGCAAATTCTGATTTTAACACTCTGAATGATGGAGACTTTCCAACCCAACAAGGCAGAGATAATAACAGAGCCCCATGAGGTTGTAGTGGGGGCTGAATGGGATCATTCCATTGAAATCTCTGGTGGAGGATGTGACCCACCAGGAAAGCTCACCTGCTATCAGTCCTATGACTGGATGTTGAAGTAGGCCACCAGGGCGTGCATGTAGTCACTGTGTGCTTCACCTGCAGGCAGAAGGGGGAGGTGAA